ATTATACACCTAACTTTGGAGATTGGAGTATGCTTTAAAATTCTCTTTATGTTCTTTTCTGGATGTGGAAATCAATTAAGAAAAAAAAATCATGACTCAGGGTCTAACCTTCATTTGGGAATTTGAGAAGATTCCAGAACATCCTTGATACTATGTCAGTCAGCCTGCTCAGCTGTCTCTAGCTGCCTCCAACCCCTTACAGAGCAAGACATAAGACATATCTAGAACTAAAAACAAAACACCCCAGGATTGTCTCTGAGCCTTGCTCTGCAGCACCCCCTCAAAGCCTTAATTAATACTCTTCTAACTGCTTTCTAGTTTATAATTCCCAACAAAGCCTTTGCTGGCTGGCTTTGAGTACATAGGAAAAGTGAAAGCAATACTTACCTCTTTAAGAGTCCGCTGTCATCCGACTAAACAGTTGTGTGAATTGAATTTTAAGGGGTTTCCCAAGATCAGATATTTCGGTATAATTTACACTTCCTTATGTCCGGATGCCATCATTCCCAAGCTTGGCATTGCCATCTGAAAAGCAAAATCAATTGCAAGCCTAAGAGCCCAACAAATTAACTTTAATACATTTTGAGAGTACTGTTCATTAATTTTTATTGCACACACACACACCTACCTGAAGACTTTATGTTCTTGGTCCCCCTTGCCAGGAACGCTCTGTCCCTGGCTCTCTCCTGATTAGTTCTTTTTGTGGTCCAGATCTCCATCAAAGGTCACTTCCTCCAGGAGACTTGCTTGGTTGTTTAAGACTAACTGGCCCCTTCCCACAGCAGCATTTGTCTTAGTTACTTTTCTGTCATGATAAAATACCACAAAGAAGAATGAAGGTTTATTTGGGATTATTGTTCCAGAGGGATGAGAGTCCATCGTAGTCACTCTCAGGGGGGCATGGCAGCAGACCGGCATGGCCACTGGGACAGAAAGCTGAGAGCTACATCTTAAACAGCAAGCATGAAGCAGAGAAAGAAAACTGGGAGTAGGGTGAGGCTGTGAGATCTCAAAGCCCACCCCCCACCCCCAGTGACGAGCTTCCTCCGGCAAAACCACACCCTCTAAGCATTCCCAAATAACACCACCAACTTGGGACCAGTTGTTCACCTGCCTGAGACGATGGGAGACGTTTCTCAAACTACTACAGCTCTTGACGATACTCAAAGCCCTCCCTGTGCTCTGAATGTACCTTGTCCCTGTAACGCAACCTTAAAATAAAATCAACCCAGAGCCAGATATCGGGGTGAACGCTCAAAGATCAGAGAGACAGAACAGGCCACATCCAACCTCACCTTGTCAATTCCTCAGCTGATCCTGTTTCCTCAGACTGAAGCCTCTGAGTCCTCATCTGGAATGGATCTCAGCTGAACTGCTGCTAAAAGCCTAAAAGCTTAACAAACACAAAAAGGCTCTAGTTCCTGGTCCTCACGTTTATATACCTTTCTGCTTCCTGAAATCACTTCCTGGGATTAAAGGCGTGTGTCATTATGCCTGGCTGTTTACCAGTGTGGGTTTGAAATCACAGAGTTCCAGGCGGATCTCTGCCTCCGGAATGCTAGGATTAAAGGCATGTGCTACCACTGCCTCTATGTTTAATATTGTGGCTTTTCTGTTCTCTGACCCCCACATAAGTTTATTGGGGTGCACAATATATCAACCACATGTCCTAGTCTTTGTATCATTTTTAGGGGTGCCATTATTATCACCTCAACAACACAAGTAAGCACACGTTGACTGTTCACCAAATGGCTTTCACCCAGCACTGTATTTAATATGTGAGATTAATCGTGACAGGCCATACTGATTGAGAACTTCCCCCTCGCCAGACACTATGCTAAGTGAGCACATTAGCTCACAGTTCAGATCAGTATCATCTCTTGCCTGGGACTACTGTGGTGACCTCCTCGTTGGCCTGTCTTTCTCTTCTTAAGACCCCTTACAGTCTGCTGCCCATGTGGTTACCAGTGGTTTTTTCTTTTAAGCTATAAATTGGCTGTGTGGGGGATCAGCTGACCACACTGTTAATGCTTCCTGCCATCCTCGGGTCCTGCCACTGACTTAAAAGACACTGTGACCAGCCCTGCCCCCACCTCTCCTGGCTTTCTAGCCCTCCTGCCTCAGTTTCCTCTAGCCTCAGACTGTGAGTCATGCTTCCCCCACAGAGCAGGCTAGCCACAGAGCTTCATCTCTCTCTCTGGTCACTCTGGCTGACATGCTTCCTCTTTGTGGAGGCCCTTCCTGGTGCCCCCTCCCAAGTATTCTTTTAATCACTATATATATTTACTTATTTTTCATTCACTGCTATCCAATGTTTTATTACCTGATTGCCCTTAATTCAACAAATATTCATTGACTGTTTGCTAAGTCTGGGCTGTGGGCTGTGATGTAGTGTTTGATGCCTAGAAGTCAGTGATGTGGAAGAGCTAAGCTTAGATGGAGTAGACAGTAAGGTCTCCGTGAGCGAATGGACAGCTGTACAGGTCCTAATGAGACGCAGGAAGAAGCACCTGGAGTAACCAGTGGGACGCGAGGTGTGAATGGTGCAAGCATTGCCTGGGAAGGCTCTGAGTGGGCGTGGGGGACTGTAGCTGCAGAGATGAGTGAGCAGGACAGGAGGAGGTGTGGCTGGGGAAGGATGGAGGCTCGCTGTGGAGTCCCCAGCCAGGGTGACTTTGAACAGAGGCACTATCTGAGTTGATGTCTACTTTAACTGATTTCTCTGGCCCTTGGATGGAAACTGGACTAATGGGGAATCCCATGCCTTCCTCCCTGGCCTGTGGTTTCATGAAGTCCAGTGCACAGCTGATCTGTGTCAATCTGTATGCTAGATATTCCCACTCATCCCCAAAGCCCAAAGAGACTTGTTGCAAAGAAAAACAAGAATAAAACCAAAAAGGTCCTTTTACAGACCACTGTAAAAGGGAAGATAGGGATTATGGCAGGCATTGTACAAAACAACTCAGTGTATTCCTCTACAAACCTCTCAGGACAAGTAGCAAGTTGCTTTCACTGACACTCTTTTTGCTGAGGTAAGGAAGCTGGTCAAGTGTCAAAACCTATAAGCCGGTAGAGAAGCTTGGAGTTCATGTTTCTTAGGTGGTTGGGAGATGAGGTGGGGTGGGGGATGATGAATGTCAAGGCACAGTATTCTTTAGATTAAAAGATTGGTGCTACTTCCTCATGTCCTCAGGCCGTTCACTTCTACACAGAATACCATTTACTGTGTGCTTGCTATAAGGCATTTAAAATCCAACAACTTTCCATTTATCAAGACTGCCTAGCAGCTAAAACACACCAGCATAATGCAAAAGCCGAAGATGAGGAAAAACCAAACTCGGGTTAGATAACACATGCTTTTGATGTCAACAAAAGCTGAGCTCCTGGCCAGCTCTTGAGGGGACCATTCATGTTTTCCTCTTATACTTAACTTGCTTATCACCAAAGCTTTATTTAACTTTTTCTTTGTTGTGGTGCTGGTGAGAGTTCTATTTCTATTTAATGAGATGACAAAGAATGATTTTATTCAGTACTCCTGTTGTATTTGGACTCAAAACTGAGAAAGAGAAATGTCTAGGGTTTGAGCATTTTTTTTAAAAACTGGTCAAATGACTTTGCACAAGACAAGACATCCAAATTGGGCTGTGTATCAGTTAGCTGTTTCTAGGTAACAACAACGAACTCCAAAATGTAGCAGCTGAAAGAGTAAGCATTGTTCACAACACCGTGATTCAGCAGGGTTGTTCTTCCGATCTTGACCAGGCAAGCTTCTGCACCAGGCGGCATCTCTGCTCACCAAAGATGAGCTCTCTCACATATCTGTGGACCCACTGCCTGAGGCTAGTTTGGTTTGTCCTTGGGTGGGATATCTAGGCTCTCATCCTGCAGTAGGCTAGACCAGACTTGTCACTTGACAATGGCAGGGTCTCAAGAGCAAGACTAGAAATACCTAAACTTCTGAAAGCTTCAGCTTAAAACTAACACAGCGCTTGCTACTTTATATTGTTCAGAGCAAGAGGTGAAGCCATACCCTTCACTCCTGATGCAGGGGTGCAAAGTCATATTGCAAAGAATATGAGTGTGAGGAGACGATTCATCAGTATCATCAATCCAAACACACGAGGTGGAAGACTAAGTAGGGTTTAGATACCAGTGTGTTCAAACTGTAGCCAATGGCCCTCATAGGGGGAAGTCCTTCCCCGGGGAGACATAAACAAGGTCTATCGCACCCATATAAGATCCCAACAACAAATCAAAATACAATTCCACCACAGATAGCCTGAGGAACCAGTGAGTTTTTCAGGATGGGTTGCCTACAGGAGCATAGGTAGTTCCCACAAAAATTTTCCAGCATGGCTGATGGCTTCCCCTTCCATTAATCTTACTTAGCGTAGATACTCTAGTCCTTCTGAGAAACCTCCCAGGCTACAGGCCACATGCAGTTAGGGCAGAATGTCTGGGAGGAGCAGCTGGAATCTCAGATGAGATCCAGTGACTCTCTCCAGTCCCTCCTTCTATGATAGATCAAGAATCAACAAGCCTGATGGTGCTGCTGATCCAGTGAATATGGTAGCTGTTATGCCCAGAAGACCATATTCTCCAACACTATGAATGCACCCCAACACATTTTTAGACCACAGTATCTAAAAATGCCAAAATGTTGGACACCTCTTGTAGAAGGAAGACATGATAGACTGGTAGCAGTCTTTTGAAGTAAAGAACATGGTGCCTTGTCTTTCGTCATCCCCACCTCACCTCCCACCATCTATAAGAAACATGAACTCCGAGCTTCTCTACTGGTTTATATGTTTTGACACTTGACCTGCCCTCTCCCTCTCAGCAAGAAGAATGTCAGTGAAAGCATCTCTCTACTTCTCCCGAGAAGTTGGTAGAGGAATACACTGAGCTGTTTTGCACAGTGCAACCCCTATTTTTCCTTTTACAGTGGTCTTGACCTTGTTGGGGTTCTCACAAATAATGATTGTACCCTCCCCTGGCAGGATTACGCCCACATGTTGACCTGTATTACTGAAAGAGAGAAGTTTATCGTGCCCGTCAAGGCTAGAGGTGCTCGAGCTATTCTGGACTTTCCTGACGAGCTGAATTTTTCCACTTCTCCTGTGAAATACAGCACCCAGAAGGTTCTGCTGGTCCGAAACATTGGCAACAAAGACTCCGTGTTCCACCTCAAAACTCGCAGGTATGCGTTCCCACAGCTCTTGCCTTTGGTTATTTACAGCTAATTCTGGTTGGCACAATAAGTTGTTAGAATAGCATTGGAGGTGGCGCTGCTTTTACCACCTCAACTGCGAAGCTGGGAGACCTCACTGATGTAGATCAGGTTGTCTCTTTATCCTGAAGGGATCAAACATTTCAGATTTACCATCCATTTCTTACCACATTTTACCTTCTTTAATACAGAGGATGACCCATGGGAATTTATAAGTAAAACATAGACTTTTTGACCAAGGATTCGGGAAATTAGCTGGGTTCATTTGGTGTTGATGATGCACCAGATTATCATAAATTTAGTGACTTCAAGCAACATAAGTTGATAATCTCACATCACAGTGGGCATCAGCAGGCCATTATCCTTTCTGGAGGCCTGTGAGGAGAACACATTCCTTAGCTTTTCATCTTCTACAGGGTTGCCTGTATTCCTTGACTCATGGTCCTCAGTTTTTTTCATCTGGGAAATGGGGGGATGTAGCCACTTTATAGAGTTTTTACTGAGAATAAAATTAATTAACAAACTAGAACTGCTGGAATATAGCAAGCACTGTATAATGAATGCTTGTCCTTTTGTTTTTAATTGAAGTAAGCTAATGCCAAGGTGGTAGAAAGAATACTAGCTCCCCAAATATTCATATTCTAATTTCTGTTAAAAAGTAGTAAGGGAAGCTGCAGCACTTGGTTTGCAGAGGAAAGTGGACACATAGATGCCCTTCAGGGATGCGTTTTATCACCATCCTGAAGGGGCCTCAAGATGGAAGGCAGAATATTAGATGGAAGCCATACAATTCACAGAAGTCTAAACATGATGGAGCCAAGGCTTCTCTTTAAAGCCTGGAAGGAGGTGAGAGGAGAGAGAGAGAAAGAGAGAAGGGGAAGGGAGGGAGAGGAGGAGAGAGGGAGGGAGGGAGATCACACCACCATGAGAGGGATGACTGGGGAAGCTAAAGGAGCCTCCTCAGAATGCAGCCTTCATGCCTGGACCAAATCCCCAAGCGGTCTTCCTGAGGAGTCGGTACCAACCCCCAAACAAAGGAAAGGTCTGACTTTGATAACCTTTTAGGGGTGACAGGAAGTTTCACAGTATGTGATTTAGTTCAGAATAGCATGTATTACAGGAGCAAAGAAAAGCCAGGTATCGTATATTGAGAACTGTCAACTCACAGAACAAACCGCTTCTTAACTCCAGTCCCAGAGAGAACTTCAGGGAGGTGTGGCCTGATTCAGGCTATGGGGTCGGGCTTAAAGGTCCAAGCCCATGTTCTAACAATACTCAGAACCTGTGACTGTGTAAGGTTACATGGTGAGAGGGGATTGAGTTCATAGGTGCAAATAAGGCGCTAATCAGCTGACCTTAAAATGAGACAGATCAGCAAGCCTTAAATTACAACACTCAGGAAGCAGAGGCGGGTAGATCTCTGTGAGTTCGAGGCCAGCCTGGTCTACAGAATGAATTCCAGGACAACCAGAGTTGTTACACAGATAAACTTGAAAATCATAAATAAATAAATAAACAAACAAACAAACAAACAGGGTTGTGGGGACAGATCAGGTCATGTGTGGTGGCACATGCCTTTCATCCCATCACTAGGGAGGCAGAGGCAGGCAGATCTCTATGAGTTTGAGGCCAGGCTGGTCTGCATAGTGAGTTCTAGGACAGCCAGCACTATGTAGAGAGACCCTGTCTTGAAATAAACAAATAGAAAGAAATGAGACAGATCAACATAGGTTCACTGGATGGACCCACTGTAACCACCAGAATTCTAGAAAAATGGAACAGAGTTCAGAGTGATGTATGTAAGAACTCAGCCTGCTCCTACTGGCCTTGAAGATGAGAAGACTATGTGAGAGAGGGTAATATGTGCTGGGGGTTGATTTTAATCTGAAAATGCATTGAGTTTCTTCCACGTGGAGGACTCTGGGGAATAATGCAAAGTGAGGCTGTCTCTGCCCTCCGGGGACTTTCTAAAAGCACTTGCCATGTAAGCCTGGTGGCCTGTGTTCATTCCCTGGAAATTGTCTAAATGTGGATGGAGAAACTCCATTCTACATAGTTGTCCTCTGGCCTCCACATGAATATCAGGACATACATGCACACATGTGTACCCTAGGAATAATAAATAAATACATCTTTTAAAGATTAAAAGGTACCGTTTGTTATGGGCAGATGAATGGCGGCTGAGGGGCTGCAAAGATGGCGGGTGCCAGGGTTAAGTGTGTCCCACTCTTGCAGGGGACCCAGTTTCCGTCCCCAGGGCCCACTTCGGGCAGATCGTCTGTAACTGCAGATCCCTCTTCTCGTCTCTGTGGACACTGTACTTACGTGAACATACCATCCCTCCTCAACACACACGTCTACACAGTTTAAAATAAGTCTTAAATGGTGGTTATCAGTGGGGCCTTCAAGAGAACAACCACCCAGAGACAAGGTGGACGATCCAGTGAGGCAGGAGATCAGATGTTTTCCTATGACTCATGGTTTGTAAATTCATTTTTAGAAGGGCTTCTCTAGAGTTCTCGGGAATCCTCTTCCTGCTCGAAGGATGCATCTCTCCAGAGGGATTAGTGTTTTCCTCTACAGGCTCACACCCACCTCTAACTCCATTTCTAAGGGATTGGACACCCTCTTCTGGTCTCTGTGGACTCTTGCACACTTATGGTACATATAAATTCCGGCAGGCACACACACACATATGTAATTTAAAACTTACTATATTGATATTTTTGTATGTAAAAGAGAAGTCACCCAATATAAAAAAAAAAAAAAACAAGCACAGACAGAACATCCTCTTGGATCGGTTGTCTGATTCTTACATGTTTTTTACCTGTTAATTTCTTACATATCAGATACATGTTAATGCCAAGCAAGCAAACAAACAGGCCCACATTCAACGGTGTAACATTGCTGAAAGATACCTAAAACATTTCTGTCCATGTATCCATGAACAAATTACCATATTTTCCTAACGTAGTAATTCTGAGTTTAAATGCAGAGTAAACTCAGGGGCCGCTGGGAATCCTCACATTAGAGGCCTTGTTCCAACATTCCCACTGTTCAGCTGAAGGCGGGGGTGGGGGGTTGGGGGAGTGGGGTGGGGGTAGGGATTGGGGTGGGGGGAAGGAAGTGAGCTAGCTATCGGCTCCCTCGGGAAGCTGTCACGGAAGCTGTGCTAGCACACGGACTACTCTGAGGCTTTCGTCACCAGCCAGGTAATGACCTTCCTCGCCTCTTGGGTCATTAGATTCCACTGTGTCTGACCATGGGGTCACCAGAAGAAGCCTAGAGGGCAGGAAGAAGGGAGCCAGGGTGTTCCTCCTCCCTCTCCCTCTTCAGCTGAGCCCTGCCCTTCACTGTGGTCCCAGCTGCCATCAGTCTGGCTTGCTGTGGTTCCAGCTTCTCCTGGCCCCTGGGATCTGAGAACAGGTCACGGCCCCTTCCTTTTGCTCCCAGTCTAAGGATGGGAGTGTCTAACTGCTGTCACCCATCCCCCACTGCCTTAAGGCGGGTTTCTCATTTTGCCCATCTTTTGTGTAGTCAAGTCTCTCAAATCCCCACTTTGCAAATTCCGTTGTTTTCCTCTTCACGTTCTTTATAAAAGTGTACCTTCATGCCTATCCACAGAACTGATGATTTCTAACTACATTACCAGTGCAGTGAGCTGCGCCAAATCCTTCCAGCAGCCTCTTTCCTGGATTGGCTACATTTGGCTTCTGTCGTTTGCCACTGAGACGCCTCAGGATTGCAGTGAGAGGGACGTGGTTGGATTTGTAATGTGTTGTTGGATCTGTGGATCAGAATCTCTGCAGAGATCCCCTAATAGGTATCCTTTCTAAAAACCACCAGGTGGGCCTTTCTCCCAGACAGAGTGCTTCTGTCCACACAATTCCTAAATGGCGCAGTAGCGGTAGAAATGGGGACAGTTGGGGAGGTGAAGTCAAAGGCCTCATCTCTCGGTCTGAACACTTTTAGCTCAGTACAATGTGAAGCAATAGCTCATGGGAAGTTCTGTTAAAAACAGAGCTTGCTTTTGTTCTCATTTAAACAATAATTTAATCAATTTATAAGATAGTTCGGTTTATATAAACAATAAGAAGAAAAATTTCCTCACGTATCTGAGGCCCTCGTTAGAATGTGGGCTTCTCAAATGCAAGAATTGTATCTAATTCTTTCATCTGTATATGCTCAGCATCTAGCAAATGTCTAGAATAAATAAGTGCTCAATAAATGTTTATAGGATTCCTAACCAACAATATATCACAGAGGCAAAGCAACTATTGTAAACCTCCACAATAACTTAAACTAAAAATACATGTTCCAAGGACTATAAAATGCACGTAATGGTTTCGGCACTAATGCAGGGAGCTGCGATGTGCTATAAAATATACAGAGAACATAAACAATTGCTGTTCAACTTTATTACAAATTTGACCTAGAACTCCAGCAGGTCACACAATAACGCTGACTGTTAAAGTGGATGATAGAGGATTGAGAAGCAACTTAAAGACCTGAGAGTTCAAGTTGGAAGTGAAATGTCAGAGAGACCATGGGGAGAAAAGGCACTAATGTGATACTCACTATTTAATATATCAAACCCAGACTCCTGATTTTTCAGAAGACTGAGTTCCTTCCATAATTAAGAATTTGATATTAATGAGGGTGTCATATCCAAACCAAACAATTTAATAGACAGAACGCGCCTTGGACCCTGGAGGATCGCTACTCTTCGCTTCTTTGTAAGAGTGTTTTCTGACACTTGATATTTTGCAGGCAGTTCAGCCTGAAGGCCTCTGGTAAAATGAAGTGCAAAATCAAATTACAGGCCGTGATTAAGCACCAGCGCCGAACGCACTCTACCCAATTAGCGTCTGATGTATTGAGAGAGCCTGTGCAGCTCCAAGAGGCGAGAGTGATCCCAGGTGATCTTCTCACCGCTGAAGAAGTTTAGTCTAAGCTAAAACTAGCAATTAGCATGTAGGCAAAGTATCCATTACCTCTCTAAAGAACTTGGGCTACTGCAGGTCCTAGAGACGTGACACTGGCGTCACCTTCTCTGTAGAAAATTAGCTGAGGTTCTGCGATAGGACAACATCCCATTCATTTCAAAATGTTCTTTTGCTACCAAGAGGTATTTGAAAGGAAAATGAAAGTGCGGCATTAGAAAGATAGCTTCAAATGGTGAGGTAAAGATAGAAGTCATTGTCATGTTATTCTCAAAGCCAGAAAATGGGGCCCCCATCCTCTGGGGTCAGAGTCTTACTGAGCCAGAAGGGAGGGAAGGACCTTGGGGGTTTGGAAGACTCACCATCTTCCATAAAGGCAGGATTCCTTGACTACCGAAAGTCTACTCCTTTTGTATTCCAAGACACTATAAAAATTAATGCAAGATGGTAAATGTTTTATTGGCCTTTAGGATTTGACTGGGGGCTAGGGGTGTGGCTCAGTGGCAGAGTACTAGTCTTGCATGGGCAAGGAAGGCCCTCGGTTTTATTGTAATTCCATCCAACCACCTCTCGGTAAGGTCCTGTGGTTAAAGGGTAGTGTGGGTGGTGGAGACTCAAATGTCTGTGTAAACACAGGACTCCCACAGGCATAAGAGGCTCAGGGTGGGCAGAGAGTACACAGCCTGGAGGCAAATCTCACTCCCGCCTCTATTTCCGCCTCAGTTGGACAACTTTAGGCAAATTACTCACTCTTTGAGGACGCCTGTTTCGTCACATTTGAAAGTCAAATGTGTCACCTACTTTCCCAAGGCATTTTGAATGATTTAGAAGTTTGGTGTGTAGAACAGCCCCAGGACAGAGTGCGTGCCTGAGCCTTCCTGCAGTTTACTTTGCACCAGAATTAACTCCCGGGGCTGCTCCTCTCAATAGCTAAGAACCCTTCAGAGGAAAGGGGGAAACTGGAATTTCTAGGAGCAGTACTCTACATGCAGAATGACAGGTGCTCCACACATGTAGCATTCTATGTAAGCCGTGACCTTGAATCTGAGCTGTGATCAGTGATAGCCACAGGAGTATCACATGAGGGAAAGCTGTGTATTTCCTGATAGGATCCTGACTGTCACAGGTTGGCTCTGCAAGAGGCACAGTCTGTTTGGTCACAGCAGGTGCAGACCTTGGGGGACTTTGTGGGTGAAGAGACCAAAGTCTCCACCTACCCCACCCCAACTGACTAGGGGAGTGACCGATGTACAGGGGTTTAGATACATGTGAATGTGTTTAATCGGGATGCAAAACCTGAGTGGGACCAGGTTGTGTGTGGCTTTGAATTCAGAGGGTTTGAACTTGATCGCACGGATCACAAGGCCTAGGGCTGGTGTTGGAGCAGGAGACTAATAAAAGTTGTGACACACGTGGGTGTGTTACAGTCTCCCTAGAGCTGAGCAAAGGCAAAGGGGCAGAGATAGATGCCCGGAATTAACTGAGCAGCCGAGTGTGTCTTTAGGTTCCTCCACCTCCAGCATTGCTGGAAAGCTGGGGAAGATAAAATAGCAATAAACACTCATATCATAGAGTACTCCTGTGTGCCAGCCGTTATCCCAGACACTCCATCCCTTTACTCCACACTAACTTCCGAGGCAGTGCTGTCTGGACCCATTTTATAGATGAGGAAGCAGATTTTAAATAACTTGTCCAAGGTCATGGCACAGCCATTTGGTTGTCTCCAGAGGTCAGTTTAAAGGTCAACAGCTCCAGGTTACTCTAAAGTGGTGCCAAGGGGTCACTGGAGAGCTGGTTTCATGACTACCAGGAAAGGAGAGAGAAAGGAAGGAAGAAGATTAAGGAATGGGAGAAGAGGTCCAGACGGGGCAGAGAGGAAGTGAGCAGGCATCATTATCGCTGGAGGCCACGGAGGTCCTAGTGAGTAATCTCAGGTACCACCTCATAGGACCCTTGTATCTGCCCTGTACCCTCACGGCAGAAAGCTTAGGTTCTCTGAAACTGAGTTCATTATCTACGGGCAGATTTAAGGGATGATGATTCTAAACGCTGTTATAGTAGAAGTAAGTACTCAGAAACAGCTTAGCCTGCCAGCTGCATTGCCCAACACATTACTTTGAAAAACTAGCAATTTAAAGATGTGAAATGGACCATGAAAATAATTAAATGGGCTGGATTTCCTGTTTAGAAGGAAGAGCTCCATGAGTTGTTCAAGGTGCTTTATAATCAGGTCCTGCTTACTATTCCATTCCAGGGCCTTTAAGTGAAAGTCTCGCACTGCTCAAATCCACCCTCATGCCTCATGACATCTGAGTCTCCAATTCTATTTTCAAAACGCAGAACTTGCCCTCTTCACCTTCTAACTGTATTTCCTTCCTTCTTCCACCTGTGTTTGCGCTGGAAGCTAACCTCTATGGTACGGTTCAGGCCTTTTGGCTTCTGGTTGGACTCAGCCAATAGGAGTCTGGGATAAGCAATCAGACGGAGGGTGAGGTGAGGGAATCGTGATTTTTGTCAGTTACTTTTCATGAAGTTATCACAAAACACCCATCGGAAATAACTTAAGCCAGGAAGAACAGATTTTGCCTCAAGTCCATTATGGCCGAGAGGGTAGGGAAGAGGAGGACACTTGTTAGCATGGTGGACATTCTGGCTGGCTTTTTTCCCTTTTCTCCTCTTTATTCCTTAGCTCATGAGATGGTGCCACCTGCATTTAGTCAGCCCTCTGTGGAAATCTCACAGACTTACCCAGACGTCTACCTCAGTGATCTCCTAGGTGATTTAAAACCTCAGTCCGGCCGGGCGTTGGTGGCGCACGCCTTTAATCCCAGCACTCGGGAGGCAGAGCCAGGCGGATCTCTGTGAGTTCGAGGCCAGCCTGGGCTACCAAGTGAGCTCCAGGAAAGGCGCAAAGCTACACAGAGAAACCCTGTCTCGAAAAACCAAAAAAAAAAAAAAAAAAAAAAAACCTCAGTCCAGTTGACAATGAGACTAACCATCACGTTATTATTTGTTTTACTGTTACCACACGGCTACCTAGGCTGTCTGCCTCCTTTTGCTCACTGGGCAGCTTTCTCCCAGGATTCCTCCTTTCTCATGACTTCTCGGGCCTAGAGACGGTGGCAGCTGTTACCGACCCGAAGCTGTTGCATCATCTCTTGAAGTTCCCTGCACTTGTCCCATCCCCTTAAAACTGAACCTTGTTAAGCTTTCCTTTGGGGATGCAGATACAGTTTTCCACTATTAAGACCCGCTCTCCTCTGAACTCTTGCCACACTTGACTTTTAGCCCTAGGAAGGCAGGATTCTTTTTCAAATAACAGTCTACCCATTATTGCAATTGCTGAGTGTGGAGGGCAGCGGTGGCTTTTATCCGTTTTATTCCCAGCAGGAACACCCCACAAATAAAAAGAGATCTGAAGGGCAAGGACACAAATAGGAACGTGACCGTGCCTGTTTGGTGTCTCGCCTTGCTGATCTGTTACTGTTACTTTAACGTTAAAACGGCTTTTTTTGCCATCAGTGGGGAAATCATCATACTGCACATCTGGACCAGGTAGCTGGATGTGAGCTGTCTGAAGATCTGGAGCCCATGTCTCCTCTCCTTGTCCCAATAGTCGGAAATATGTTCTGATGGTGCCTCCACATGTCTTGCAGGCCTTTCTCCATAGAGCCAACGGACGGGATTCTTAACGTGGGGGAGTCCATGCAGCTGGAAGTGAACTTTGAGCCGCGGAGCGTAGGCAATCACAAAGGAAAACTGATCGTGACTTATGACACCGGTATGCTTCATGTTCTTCCTTTCAATTTTATTTCTGCCGAGTAAGGAAGGGCACATAGAAAAATGAAGACGCTGAGATGTATTTTGGTGGTATGAGCTTAAGTTAATATCAGAAAAGTAAAGCGCCAAAATGTGAATGTTTCCACCAGAAATTACGTCAAGTCTTATAGAATCCCCACCTAGTTGGCTGCCCCACACTGAAAGCCTGAGACTCAAGAGGGAACCTACACTCAGAAGTCACAATGATGGGTGGAGCTTATTTATGTATAGATGAAACCCTGAAGGTGATGTTTACCCCCCACTGCTTTCCATGTGATTGATGTGTGGCTGCATTTGTACATTTTTAAATGTATGCGAACCCCAGTTCAAAATATTCTTGTGTGTGTCTAATAGTCTGTTAAGATCTAGTGGCCTTAAGCCTTGCATCAAGCAAGTGTTGTCTTAAATATCTCACATAAATCCCAGACTGTCTCTGTTGCCACTAACATTTTCTTGATAGCTGCATCCCATAATTAATCATGGAAATTACATATTGTGGTTTTGCTAATATTTAACTTATAGCCTTGTAGACTGCTGTCTTTTGAAATATGAAGATGGCACTGTAAAGGAAATTTTAAGTACACAGCCAAAATAGAGCTGGCCATGACATCTAGGTCACAGGTCAGAGTTGCTGACTTTGTACATTTGCATCAGAGCAAGACAATGCAAGCCTTTCCCTAACTTCCCGGGATTAAGCGGGCCTGGCTCCATCATGACCAGATCACACCATCCCACAGCCCGTGACATGGCAATGTGTCTTACCTGTTTCTGTCAGCTGTAATTCACCAGCTACCAGCTAGGGAGACCCAGTTTGAATAAGCTTAAACAAAGGAGGGGTCTTTTGACCTACATAAATAAAACCACTTCTCACAGCACACAAGGATGTCACTTTCCAAAGCATCTGGGTCGTTTTTCATGAAGTCCACCAGCAAAGGCTGAGAGTTCCAGCTGCTCCCCGTTCTTCACTGAACACTGCCAGTGTGTGCACTTTAGGTATACTAGGAGTGTAAAGTGGAGTCAAAGAATGGTTTTAATTTTCATTTCTCTAATTTATGATCTGAGACATCTTTTCATGTACAACTGGCCATTCCTATATCTTTTCTGATTGTTTAAATCTTTTGCTTGTATCTTTTTCTATTTCTTGTTCATTTGTAAGTAACCTAAGTAAACTCTCTACATACCAGTTACTCATCAGACAGATGTAAGATTAATCTCTTCCCCCAGGCTCTAGCATGCCTTTTCATTTCTTCAGTGACAGTTCTTGATGAGCAATGATTTTTAATTTTAATAAAATCTCTTACCATTTTGTTTTTCTTTTTCTTTTCCTTATTAATACAGTATTTATTTGTCTTCTCTCTGTCAAACCCTGAGCCAAGCACTTTCCCCAGACTTCCTCGGGAGGTACAGGAAAAGGAACACACAGGGCAGACAGGACATGAAAGACCTATGGGAGGTGGAAGTGGAGACAGCTGCTTCACATGACGAAGAGGACGAGAAAGACCACCATTAGGCAGAAGAGCCCCATGGCCTCTGAGAGGGCAAAGCCCAGAATCACGTAGGAGAAGCTGTTGCTTCAGAGAAGGCTTCCTGGCATAACCAATAATAAGGCTCCCAAAAGAGTCCCAACCCCAGCCCCAGAGCCAGCCGCCCCAACTGTAGCAGCCCCAGCCCCAGTGAACTTGGCGGCTGTGTCCATGTCCCTAGAAGTGACGCTGGTTTGGAAGCTGCAGCTAGGGATGACTGAGGTCAGAGGACGAGGGACTGCCAAACTGCTGGGGCCCTCGTCTGTCCACGTCTGTGGTCAGTTCAACTGCACTGCAGACAGTGGACCACTCAGCAGCTAAGAGGCTCCTGATCAAGGAGCAGATGGAAATGAACTTGGAGCAGGCATACATTGTCAGGGGGGAGGGGTCAAGGCAAGAGAGCTGCTCCAGGGTAGAGCTTGTTTTTCTTTTAAGATAATTCTTTTCAGCTGTTGCCTCCTCTGTGATCATGAATATATTTCATGTTTATATCTATAAGCGATATATTTTGAGCTGCTCTGCTTAGGCTAAAGATCCAGCTTTGACTTCTTTGTGTGGGAGAGACCAGGTATCACTTTCTTTTCTTGCTCATTGTGAGTTTCCTCCACTCTCATTATCTCACTCTTGAACACTGTTGACTAGTGCACACTCTGAGATTAAAACAATTCCTCTCACTCCTTGGCTTCGATGACTTTCTGTCTTGGGTGAATGTTGGCTCTCTGTCAAATGCCTTCATTGACTTTGTCATAGATTTTCTGATCTTTATTCTTCTAATGTGGTGATTGATTTGTAATGCTGCTTTCTGGTATAAATACAAATTTTAAATTTTGATAAATCACTGAGGTAGATTTGCTAATATTTTGTTTGAGAGTTTATGCTCAAATTCATGAGAAAAAATATCCTGTAATTTTCCTTTTACATAATAGCTCTCTCTCAGGTTTTAGTCTGATGAAACAAATTGGTCTCAGAAAATGAGTAGAGTGTTACCAGGAATTATCTTCTTTTCTTCTTTGGGAAAGCCCTTTTTAAAGATTTGTGTTGTTACTTCCTTAAATGACTGAGAATTTCTTTGTTCAAGTCACACTTTTGTTTTCCAAAAGACATGCAGATTCTTAATTACTAGCTTGTTTTTCTTAACAAATTTCAAGGGATTTTGTCATATAGTTTGAAATCCTAAGCTTCAGGCATAGGGAGGGTTGTTCAGAACAGCCACTCAAGGTCTTTTCGATGCTGGTAAGACTACAGGCGCTCCTCTTCTGTCCTTAGTTACGGATCTCTATCCTGGCTTTATCAGGTTTATACATTTTACCCAGAGAACCAACTTTTAGTTAATTTTCTTTATTGTTCACATTTTTCAAACCTTATTTATTTTTCTTCTTTATTATTTCCCCAGGCTTTTCATCTTGTGGCTGTTCTCAATCTTAGGGGAAATGCTTAGAGCACTGACTTTTAACATTTAGTCTTTTATAATATGTACATTTCAGACAAAATCTTTTATTTAAAGCTGGATCTTCAATGCATATACATTAATGTTTCATTTTCCTTAAAACTTAAGAATTTAAATTTTTCTATTTTAATTTTTCTTGGACCCAGAAACTACCTAGCAAAATATTGAATAATAGTCAAATTCTTGGGAATTTTGTAGTTGGTGATTTTTTTTTTCTTTTCTGATTTCTCCTTTAATTCTGCCAGTGACAGAAAATTAATTCAATATGACCTCAGGCCTGGAAATCAGTTGAGACTAACATTATGGTCCAGAATATGTTCAAGCTTGGTAAATGTTCCCTGCAATTTGAGAAGATTACACATTCCATAAATGACAATTAGGTCAAGTTTACTAATAATCATAGCATTTGGCCTATGTCTCTACTTCTTATCCTTTTTCGGCAGATGATAAAGGTTATTAAAATTCAAAAGTATAATTATGGATTTTGCATTGTGATTTTTGTGCTATCAATTTTCATTTTGGTATTTTGAAACTATAATACTTGGTATGCACACATGTAGTATTAATATAACTTCCTGTTGAGTTAACCATTTTATCATTATGAAATATCTTAGTGAGAGTTCTGATATTACGGTCTACTTGGTCTGACATTTGTGCAATAGAAAAGCTTCCTTTTGATTAATGCGGACATTCAATGCCCTTTTTATCCTTTTACTTTCAACTTTTCTGTGTCTTCTTATTTAAAGTTTGACACTTAGAAGACTCAATCCCCAGATGAATATTTTTTAATTGATTCTGAAAATCTTATTGTTATTATTTTATTTCATTATTAAATTGTTCCATTTGGTCCTTTTATGCTGAATGAGATTCCTGACATATTTGGGCTGAGGTTGCTGACTACTGTTATTATGTGCACTGTGGGAAAAATGATTGATTGAATTTTAACTACAACCTTCCCATTATTGGCTGTTGGTGTCAATAGCAAGTGACATTTGGAAACGAGTGTTAATTATGCATTTTCCCCACCTATGTCCATATCTTTGTAAGACATCGTTTTTTGTTTGTCAGTCCATAAAAACCAATGTATCGGGAACAAAGGTGACCTAAAAATTACCTTTGAGCCACTAAATCCAAGATTTTAAGCCAGGAGTTTGAAAAAGAATAACCTGTGCTTCTGTGCTCACAAAATAATAGGTTGTTTGTTTTTCCTTATTTTAAAATTCTGCTTATTTCATCTTTAACTCATCCTTTCACATATATTAATGTATTTAAGTATATCTAACACAGGAGTATAATTTATATGTAAATAAGTCTTCATGTGTTACAGTATCATTTAGAAAAGTTTTATTTGGTTTTGAGATTAGTCATCTTAGATTGTTCATATGATAGTGTCAAAACTTAGAAGACCAGTCACATTTTAATCCAGTCACAATCTAACCCAGTCACCATCTAACCCAGTCACCATCTAATCTAACCCAGTCAC